ACAGGTAAAAGTTTGTTTGCAAATGACCAACGCTGGGTAAAATAGAAATTGTCATACACTCCAGGGTAACTGTAAATTGGCTTAAGAATCTTTGAAAAACTATTTCATGTTAATAGTCTAATATAATTTCATACTATTTTGTCCAGCAATACAACTTCTGGAAATATCTCCTAATGAAACACAAAATGCCTCAAATAAGGAAAATTTATGTGAAGATTGTTCTCATTATGTTTCCTTTTATATTAGCTGAAAATTATAAACAAACTAGATGTTCAACAAGAGGCAGGGAAATGGTTAAATATGTATACTTCACGGAATATTCTGCAACCATCAAAGCTGAGATGAGGAGTTGGAATAAGAGAAAATGTACTAGTATAGATTTGTAACTTTTTGACAAGAGTACTTTGTACTTATATAAAAATTCATTTCAGAAGAAAAAACACGCTCAGTCCTAATCTAATTAAATCAGAAGCTCAGGGGGTGAGGTGGGGCCTGAACATTAGAATTTTTAAAGTCTCCCCAGATGATTCCACTTGAAGCTCAGCTGAAAGAACCACTGACCTTGGATCCAAAGGAGACTTTCCAGTTCAGGTGTGGCCCAGCCCAGCTTACCCAGATGGAATTCTACATGGGATACTAAATGGCACATTTCCCTGATTTGTCCTTGAAGTTAGACAGTCATGGGTCGTGGTGGCTCCAGTAATTAAAAAATTTGGGATCATTTTAAATAACTGCATATGACCATAACCAGCAGCAGGAAGACTCATTGGAAAGTCAATAGTTAAAATAATCCAGTTAAGAGGCAGTGAGGGCAGGCCTCCCCTGGTGGCACAGCAGTTGAGTGCTGGGCTGTGAGGCTGCTGGACGGTTCGTTCCCCAACCGCACAGGCGAGGGTCCCACCAAAAACAAAAAGAGGCAAGTGAGGGCTTGGACTGGGTCAGCCCAGCAGTAGGAGACATGGCAAAGGCAGACTCCACGCAGCTACCCTGAGCAACTGAAGGACTCTAAGGAGTTGGAACCGAATCCTGCATGGCATGTGTAAAGGCCGGACTGGGCACAGTACAGGTTTTCTGATCCCATGCAGACCGGGTAAAGGAGGAGTCAGAGTCCTCAGTAGTTTTGCAGGTTTTTTATTTGGGGTTCACCAGGCATATGGCAGGCAGGGGTGCTGGCTGGGGGGCTGGGAGGCCAGCAAGTCTTCACTCTATTTGGGCTCTCTGGCGTTGGTTCTGCTGCTTCTCGGCTTTTCTTTCGGCTTCTACTGCTGCTTCTACTGCTGCTACTGCTGCTGCTGCTGTTGGCGTCCCCGTGACGCCGCCCTTAAAAAGCACAGTCTTAACTCAGCTGAATCCCATCTACCTATGCCCACACCCTATTCCAGGTGCCCGCCATCAGGCATGCATTCAGGACAAGGATCCATCATCTATCCTGATGGCGGAAGGGCAGAAAAGCCTGACATTTTCTTTACCCTACAGCATGGGTGGCAAGGATTCAGTCTTATAGATCCACGGGTGCCCATCTGCTGATGTCAACCTCCACAGTCCTACCAGCAGGGGTAAAAGCAAAAAGCTTGAACAGTTTGCCACTAGGAGATTCTGATATCTACCAGGCTCTGTAGAAGGAAGTGCTATAGCCAGTGTGCTGTTGGGCCAAAGAAACTAAATGAATATTGAATAGGGGAGAGAAAACTCAAGAAAGGCAGATAGCAAAAGCACACGCTGACCCCATTAGGCCCAACATTGTGAGGGCCTCAGAGGACAAGCCCCTCAGTGATGTGACATGATTGGTGGGGTGCCAAAGAGCCCCTGCTCATGGATGGCCTTCTCTTCTCCCTGTGGCTGGCAACTCTACTGTTAGGTTAATTCCACTTAGGTTATTAAGCATTGTCCACTCATTGCCCTCCTCTGAAATGCAGACACCTGAAAGGAATAACACTTTGGTTCACAACAGTTTAGTGGGATTAGTTCGTTATTCATTGAGAACAGTTGAGTGCTTACTCTGTGCTGGGGGCTGCGCTAGGAACTGGGATACAATGGGACACACCTTGGCAAGGTGACTAAAAAGATTTGATTCATTCAGAAGTATCTACTGCAGGCCCCCTGACACCTCAAAGGAGCTGGTGTGAAACAGAAGGGAAACTGAAAAATCCACAACGTCATGTCCCTCAGAGAGATTTTTAGCCTCTTTGTTGGGGGAGAAAAGGGGGGTGGTAATCCTAGCACACAAAAAACACAGAACACGCAACTGCTGATTAAACTGTGAATACAAAGAGGCAGCAAGAAGACTGGAGCTAAGCGATGTCAAGTCAAAGAGCCTTTTCAGAGGCGCTCATGATTGAACCACACTAACCCTTTTCATTAGGGAGCCTGGAAAATAAGGTATTGTGACCCCACATTTTCTAAATATTAACATGGGTGTGATTTCCTGGTTCCGTGGCTTCACCTTGATTTCTACCCAACACCATATAGCTCTGGCTAGGCTGAGCATTACTGAAAGGGAGTTATTCAGGAAGTATCTCCACAGTGCGTAGGGACCCACCTACATTCTCTGCCTGTGTCCCCACCTCTGACACGTCTTGCGGTAAAAGTATCACATTTACTGAACTCCCACAAGATTTATGGTTTCTGCCTGTCATAGTCAGGCTCACAGGCTACCCTTGTGAGAGAACTCACCAGCTGCTGGCTCAGCTGTCACTGTCTCCCAAGGAGAATGAGGAAGCAAGATTTAGGAATGAAGGAACAGGTATGGCTCAGAATCCGGGCATCAAGCAGAGCCAGGCAAGGAGATTGTGCCAAGTCTTGAAGAGTATGCCTTTTTATGAAAGTGCTGTTGGTAAATTGCGTTATCCTGGAATCACATTCTGTCCAGAGATCCTTGGGGCTGAAATCAAAGCCCAGGAGGAATGAGGAATGTAGATCAGTGCAGGAATCAAAACTCCATCTAGCCTTCAGGAGGGACAGACTTTGTTGGCAGGCGGGGCTGGGAACGGCTGAAGGCAGACATGGAAATCAAACCTGGAAAATCCGAAAGAGCAGACAAAATAGTCTAACACCAAGTAATTAGGTGGCATGAGCTTCAGAGGGGAAAAGACAGAGGAGGGCGTAAGATGAAGATCAGGGTTCAAAGAGGAGACCTACTGGAACAGCGATTGCCTCTGCTGGTGGGGAAATTGATTGGGAGGAAATCTGAGTGGACTCTGAGAAAAGAGCTGAACATCCAGTCTCTTAAAAAGAATAGTAGTTTATCATGGATGCATCCATTTGTCAAAAGCCTTTGACCTGCATACTTAGGATTTGTGCAGTTCAACATATATAAATTTTACCTAAAACAATTATAAACATGTTAGACTCAGTGCTATGTATGAGCAATTCTGAAAGTACAAGCCGTGTATTCTCAGGCTTGAAGCTAGTGGGAGCCAGATTTTTCACTGTTGGAGAAAGAAATCACAAATCTAGGAAAGGTGTTTGTTGCACTACACATGAAAGTATCAACACAATTATATACCTATGTCTAACCTCGGGGTGTGTGTGTGTGTGTGTGTGTATGAATTTATATATATATAATAGACATCTCTGTATTTTCTCTGTGTGTGCACATACGTGTAATATTACCTAATTGCAACTGGTCAGGTTTAGAAGCAATGACACACCAGTAGGAACACCCAGACTTGGTTTCTAAATACCATTCCCCACTAAAGGAACCAGGGGTCCTTGACTAATGGTTTATTCCAAGACTGGGGCAGGGAAAGTAAAGGATGAGTGTGGCATATCTTGTGTCATATCTTAACCCCTGGTGGCGCAAAGGGTTAAACACCGCACTATGGAGAAATCTTCAGCCTCTGCAGCAAGAGTTCGATCCCCGGCCAGCCAGGGAGCAACCCACATGGCGCAGCAGGCCTCTCCTGTCTCACCCGCTGCTCCCCTCAGCAGTGTATTTCAGTCAGTCTGCCTGTTCTGTTCCCTGCTCTGTCTCTGGTGATTCCTCTCACCCCCACCCCTGCGTCTCTGGCCTGTGCCCCAGCTCTTGTATATATAAATAAATAAATCTTTTTTTAAAAAAAAAAAAAGTAAGGTAGTTGTAACACAACTAACACATACCGGGTAGGTTCTTCACCGGTTCTAGCAGCCATGCTGTCCTCATGCTCACCGCTGTTCATCGTTGTCCTACTCTGTCCGGCTCCGCCACACTCCAACCAGCCCCGCCACTTTCCACCGCACTCCTCTGTCCACTCTACTTCACTCCTCCATCCTCTGCACTGCACCACCACACTGCACTCTGCTGTGTCACCCTTATCAGCCCCGGCCTTGACCCAGGTGAATCCCATCTACCTATGCCCACACCTTACTCCAGGTGCCCGCCATCAGGCATGCATTCAGGACCGCAAGGATCTATCATCATGCCTAATGGCGGGAGGGCAGAAAAGCCTGATACTTTTTCATCTTACCCTATAGTAATGCTCAAAGAGTCATAGGAATATGTTGAAAGGACTTAGGGGCCAGCTTAAAGCGGCTCTCCCTGGCCAAGTCTGGGGAAATTTGAGCATCAAAATAAATTATATTTTTAGTGGACTATACCCCATTGAACAATCCATACTGATAGCAGTAAATAATATGAGAGGAAACCTCTTCTACTGGTAAATGTTAACTAATAAGTATAAAAGGACTAGTGTGAATAAAAAGTCATCAATAAATGTTAAAATTGATGGATATATCTGATAAGAAATAAGGTAATTATAGAGTTGAAAACATGGTCCCACAAATTACTTATTAATTGCATAGGAAAAATTTGTAACTTCAGAGTGACACAAAGCAGTTAATCAAGTCATCAGCCCTAATGTCACTATATGTAAACTAATATCCAACATCATGTGTCTCTGATTAGGATGCTTGGAGGACACACTGAGTCTGAGATAATCCTGCAAAAAATATACAACCTGAATCTGAATATGAGAAAGCATGAGGCAAATTAAAAATACATTCTATAAAATTACTGACACGTGTACCCCCTTTTCCCTTTGCCATTTGAACTTATGTCTTTATTGGTCATTCAAGTAGAGCAAAGGAAGTATCTTTTAACAATTCAAGCAAACTGAGTGCTTGTTTGTAGTCTATCAGAGGAAACAAAATGACACACACACACAAAAATAATAATTACTAGCCTGTTCTCTTTTAAAATGTCAGATTCAAGAAACACAAAGGCAAGGCCGAGGATATGTTCCAGAATAGAGGAAATAAATAGACTTGACAACTAAACACCATGCACGATCTTGGATTTGACTCTGAACTCAGAAGAAGGAAAACAATGTAAGGATATTTTGAATGCAATTGATGAAATAAATTGCAATATTATATTGATGCTTAATTTCTTGATTGTGTTAAGTCTGCTCTGGTTGATACAAGAGAAAGCGCACATGACGTACTTATAAAGGGTACCACATCTCCACTTAGTCTTAAATGGGGGAGGAGCGGAGAAAGAGAATGATAAACAAATAAGGCAAAATGCAAATAAAAATAAATGAAAATGCAAATAAATGGATTAAAACATGCAGGAGTTTCTGATACTGTTCTTTTCATTTTTCTGTAGAATTGAAATTATATAAACATGAAATGATTCTCCCAAAGCAAAACAAAGCAAATAAACCTATGGGTGTGGTTGGGAGGAGGCAACCCTGGTGCTAGCAGCCAGCAGTCCTGTGCTTCCTCTCTGGCAGAAGCCAGTTTAAAGTTTGGCCACCACAGGGTCTGTGGCAGGGTGGGGGCAGCATGCGCAGGCGCAGCAGGCTCCTCCTGGAACAAGTAACATGCAAACTCTACCAGCCTCTAGACCACAACTGGGCTGCAGTTCCTGGTAGTGCCCATCATGTCCTTACAGCAGAAAGGCCTGACAGATGCTTTATGTCAGATGATTCATAGATAACGCAGCACACCAAGATGAATCATTGGTAAATGTATAAATTGTGCAGGGATTTCATCTTTTTCCATAAAACAAATTATTGTTCAGGTTTTCTTATGTTACAGCCTATCAAGAAATAAAAATGTGTTTGCATTTTTGCAAGGAGATTTGGAAATTTTTAAATCTGGTATGAGTAGAGAAGAGTTGAGGGGGAAATCAATTCAGGTTTTCCGGCTTAGCGAGAATAGTAATGAAGGGCTGTACTTTCCCTAAGCAATTCCTTTCCAAAAGAAAGTGTACACATTTAAACATATTTTATTTATAGCTCTTCTGGGGCCATTGCTCAGCGTTTGGCCTTTGCCACAGCTCTAGAGCACAATGTTCTTTTTTCCTCTGTCATCAATTTTTTGGCCTGAGATTCTGGGAATCTCTGAATTGCTATTAGAGGATTTCCTCCATTTTGCTCCCTGAAGCTTAACAGTCATATCCCCTCCCCTACAACAAATTGTCCCTCAAATCAAAGACCAATCAGCAATACGTGGGATGTGCTTCTTCACACAAGCTTAAACGGACAGCAACTCTCTTTGTCTCAAAGTTCAGAGAAAAGGCATCCTTCAAAATGGATCCCACTGGGTGGATTTTTCCTAACCTCTAGCTCACACTTTCCAGGGTGTGCTTGGGAAAAATCAATCGTGATGGAGACTTTGGGGAGTGAAAGAAGCCAGAATTCTCCTTCCCTCTCCCTCTGCCCAACTGTTCTACCTGAAGCCATCCCAGGCGAGGGAGGCAGTGCCACACCCAGGCAGCACCTGGCCCACATTAGAGGAGGCGCTGCCTGGGGGAGGCCTGGAAAACACGACTCACTCAAGTGGGTCTGAGTCATCAGGGCGGAGGCTGTTGGGTCACATTCTTGCAACAAAACAAGCAAACAGTGCAGGCAGAGGAAGTCCAGACTGTTGATGCTGTAAAACTCTTTCAAGGTCAGTTCACAAAACACATCTTGCTCTGTGAGAGTGAGTCGAAGGTGAGCAGAGCGAGAGCTCCAGCTCGGCTGGGTCAGCACGACACCAGCTCCAGGTAGCCCTTGAGTGAATGGAGACAGCAAAGGAAGAAAGGCAAATACTTTCTGAGGTCTGAAAACGCCAGCAAAGGGAGAGCACAACACCTTATTGATGAAAAGAGCTAAAGATGGAGGGCGGGAGAAAGTGTGGAGAAGGTTAGGAAGGGTCCTCTCACTGGATGCCTCAGCAAGTCCGTTCTGATGCTCTGGGTTGTATTTTCAGCTACCCTGGGTTTTGAACACCAAGCTGGAAGGGTTTACCTAAGCAGAATGTAGCTCTTCAAAACCAAGACTGGAACTCTTTGAACAGAGATTTGTGCCCAGAGCATAACTGGTTCAGACATCTGAAACTGGAAGATGAAAATCCAGTTTCTTAGGGACCAATGGGAACTGAGATGCGAGTTTGCTGCAACTTGAAGTTTCTTGCTGGCAAGTCAAGGCAAGCCTATTTGTCTTCCTTGTAACTCGAAACCATTTCTTTCAGGCAAATGATCTGCAGGGGGATACCTGGTCCTGAGACCAAACTAAATGTTTTTTCTTAATATAGCGATAGATTAGGGCCTCCCTGGTGGTACAAGGGGTTAAGCACAGCACTGTGAAGCTATCCACAGCCTCTGCAGCACAAGTTAAATCCTGGCTGGCCAGGAAGCTACGCACATGGCACAGGAGACCTCTCCTATCGCGCCCACTGCTCTCCTCAGCAGTGTATTACAGTAGATCTGCCTGTTCTGTTCCCCATTCTGTCTCTGGTGAATCCTCTCACCACCACCCCCCACAACTCTGGCATGCGCCCCAGTTCTTGTATGCATAAATATATAAATATTTAAATATATATATATATATATATTTATAGATTAAATGGTGAGAGCCAGCAAGAAGCAAAGACAGCCAGGGCCTCTCTACTTGGCATTTCATAAGCTGGGAGATGCTTTCACTCTCATGATCAAAATATGGAGACACTTTCTACCTTCTTGCCATTGGTTACCTATTCCACCCACCCCTCCCCGCCCAGCTTCCTGACAAGAGATGATCCCCTGTCCTTTGAAAAATTTCTGTCCTACTTCTGCAGCTGTAGAGCCAGGTCCGGGAATGGCTGGTCTGCGCCATTCACACTCTGATGCTTATCTCTGTAAAGTAAGGAGGACTGGCGCCTGCGCTTGTGAATGCTTTACCCAGGGCCTTTGTACAGTCTTGCAAATGTGTCTGTCATTGACAGCAAAGAGGGGCAGGTGTGGTTGTGAATATTGAGATGCTAGTTCATTATTGTCTCTGGAGAAGCAAGTCAAAAGGCATGCCTTATTGAAGGTATACAGAACTTTAAATCCAGTATATTTTACTGCACTACGGGATACAGCAAAGACAACAACTAAGGTTTGTTGGGGGATAGCTGAGTGTGCTGGACACTTTAGTCATGTTCTCACTTAATCCCTCAACAACTCTCAGATAGATGGCCTTCTACCCATTTTACAGACTAGCAAACAGGGGCTGTGTATTTTATGAGGTACAATGAGCTGCTGAACCTCAGGTAACAGGCAGAGTTAAGGGTTGAGCCCTGGCAGGGATGCCCAGGGACCTGTGTGTACTCATAGGACCATGCACTCTGTGCCATGCTCACCACTGGTCACCCAGAAGTTCTCCAGTCCTGCGGGATTTTTTTTTTAAATATTTATTTATTTATACAAGAACTGGGGTACAGGCCATAGGCCCAGGAGGGTGAGAGAATTCACCAGAGACAGATCTGGGAGAAGAAGAGGCAGACTGACCGAAAACACTGCTAAGGGGAGCAGCGGCGAGACAGGAGAGGTCTGCCGTGCCATGTGGGTATCTCCCAGGCTGGCTGGGAACCAAACCCATGCTCCAGGGGCTGTGGACAGCTTCACAGAGCTGCGTTCAACCTACTACGCCACCCGTGAGGCCCTCTTCTGGGAGTTTTTGAAGCTTCCCAGAAGTGATTGTAAGGTCAGTAGTGATTTGAATTTCATCTTTTAAAATATATTCAATTTGAATTTTACATGTCAAATATACTTGGACTTCATTTCTTAAGTATACTTAAAGACTTTTTTTTTTTTGGGCCTCCCAGGTGGCGCAGCGGTTGAGCGCTGGGTTGCGAAGCTGCCCGCGGCCTCTGCGGCGCCGGTTCGATCCCCGGCTGCTCCCCGGCCACCGAAGGAGGGTCCCGCATGGCGCGCAGACCTCTCCTGCCGCCCGCTGCTCCCCTCAGCGGTGTACTTCGGTCCTTCTGCCTGCTCTGCTCCCTGCTCTGGCTCTGGTGAATTCTCTCGCCCTCCCGGCTTCTGACTGTACCCAGTGCATGTATAAACCAAGCAAACAAACAAACAAATAGATAAATAAGACATGCCTCTAGAAAATTTAAAAAAAAAAAAAAGACTTTTTTTAAATAATTAAAAACACAAGCATGCAGCTGCATTAACTACCAAATGATAACACTGAAGAAACTACTGTTATATCATCTTTGGCTGTCAGATTTTTTAGCAAATCTTGGGATGGGGCTTCCCTGGTGGTGCAGGGGTTAAGTCTCAGTGCTATCAAGCTATCTCCAGCCACTGTGGCATGAGTTCCATCTTGTCCTTGGATCTAACCCACATGGCACAGCAGACCTCTCCTGTCTCCCCTGCTGTTCCCTTCAGCAGTGTGTTTCAGTAGATCTGCCTGTTCTGCTCCCCACTTTGTCTCTGGTGAATCCTCTTACCCCCTTCTGCCTCCCGTCCGTATCTTTGGCCTACACCCCAGTTCATGTATGCATTAAAAAAAAAAATCTTGGGATGAATTTCTTAGATCTCTCTCCCCCCGGACCTCCCTCTCTCTCTTTTTAAACTGGACTTTGACGTACAATGTACCTGCAGTAAAATGCAGAGTTTTTAAGTGCACATGAATTTGAATTTCCACACACATATGCTCACATCACCTCCATCCTTGTCCTGATATACTGTCCAGCATGCCAGAAAGTTTCCTGTGTCCCTTTCATGTCATTAGCAGCCCCTCTGCTCCATCAGCATTCTGCCTCTTCCCCCTTGGACTAGTCAGTCATATGCCACATTTGGAAGGTTATGAGGTTTTATGTCTGTTCCTGTAACAACCCTCCCAAGAGGGCAGTACTCAGTGAGGGCCTCACCAGGCTTGGATCCCCCATTTGGTCTTTGCTCAACCAGGCC